TTTCCCTAATTTGAAGTACTTCCTGTGTGGACATATGCATACTTGATTCTATGAGTTATCTTTTCGGGGTAATGCCATAATAAAAATACATATTTTTTTAAGTCTTCATTGTGTTCTATGTTTCTTAGATTATTTGGATTCAAATGGAAATGTCCTGCCAAGTCACCTGAGACCTCTTTGTAATTGGGAAAAAAACTCGCAAACCCCCCTAGTATACAGTATTTCCCTGGAGGAAGAAAATAGAAAGTTTAAAAACTGTTGACTGTGAATAAAACAGAGGCTGAAGGCATTTTTAATCCTACTTCACTTTTGAAGCAGAATCTGCAGTGGGTCAAGGGACAGCATTTTAGCTAACAAGTACACTATAGCAGGCTTGTCATTTGTTTTTCAAGGGTAAGAAAAAGACAGATATATTTTTGGGGTTACTGGGAATCATTCTAAGATTTTTGTGTGCAGTGCTTACACACACATTTTAAGTCATTTGCAATCATCGTAGACTTTGTGCTTCTGTTCCCCTCAGTTTAGTTGCCTGTTACAGTTATCTTCTGTGGTGCTTCAATTTGGATTCAATTTGAATCTTTTTATCTTCTTTTGCTGCATCATCCTAAGTTACACTGAAATATTAAAATGTTGTCATAATGAATAATGCTTGTGCTGTCCTTGAATTTGTTATTTATTTGTTCAATTGACTGCTGTCTGTGAAGATTATTGTGGGAAAAATAAAACCCTCAATTTCAAACTTGCATGAAAATGCTAGATTACATTATTACTCTGGATGCGGAATGTAAAATCAGAAAAAGTGTGATGAGTTAGAACTAAGCGCCTGCGACCAAACAGGAAATGTCAAAATACTGCAGAAAACTCTTGCTTGGCAAGCTCTAGGTGACTTCTTTATAGTTTTGTTCAGTGTGGAGGAAGTCTAGCGGTACTAAACAGAATTACTTAACGCAAGGAAACTGTGGAAGTGTGACATGTTCATGGATAGGCTGTAAGCAGAAAAAGAGGTAAAACTTGTTACTTAATTTAGTTGATGTTAATCCCTCAATCAACTATAACAGAAAAGCTTAAGTTCAGAAAATTATATATAGATTTTGAAAGATTATGTTTTTTTACCACTGACATCACACAGGGAAACAGATGAAATAATGTACCTGATACTATAAAAAATTTTGACTGCATAGAAAAAGGCGTAATAGATAAAATGGTATTTATAAGGACATTTAGATAGATTTCCTAGCACATGTGATGATTTTAGAGATACTTCTATCTATATTTTTGTTTCCATTGCAATCAGACCTATGTTCTCTATTGCTTCCAACAGCATCCATGAGGAAGTCAGTGTCTCATTTTTTATTACTTAGCCCTTATGCCCTCTTCAATTCTATACAATTCTTGCACTGTAGTTGTTCGACACACAGGATTTTGAAATGAGGTTGCAAAAAAATATTGCTGTATTCAAGGAGTCTACAAAACTAATATAGTACATAATAAAACTTTTAGGAAATGCTAAGCATTTTTTCTTTAAAAAAAAGGGTATTAATCAGCACAATTATTTATTTCAAAGGTGATAAATAACTAATTAGCTTTATATAACTTCATTCCTGTTGCAGTGGTTCTGTATTTCTTAATCAAAGAGAAACCTTGCAGTAGTCCTTGCTGTTCTTTTCCATCACTCAACAAAGGATATGATTAAAATTTCGTGCTGTGCTGGATTTATCTGAAATTTTTGGAACTTTTAATATATGGGCTCAATCCTTATCTGACAAAACTGGCATTAGCTCTAGTGAAACCAAAGAAAAGTGCTGAAGACTCTCCATTCCTTCCAAGTCATGGTGAAAATCTCCCAGGTTGTAACAGCAGCAGCGATAGCTGATAACTTCTAACTGACCTAGATGGTTCAGGATCCACCTCGAGATGTTGATCGGGTCTTACTAGATTAACCGAGGCTTTGTAAAATATCGTTATAGTGCAAAGAAAATAATGAATCTAATTAATGGATGGATAGGAAAAAAGTGAATGGGAAACTATGAATATCAGGCATATGACAGGAGGACACTTCACAGCTCTCTCGCCTAATGAAACCTGCTGTTTCTACTATTTGTGCACGTGAGATCTCGTGGTTGGAATACAACAGTCAATAATTTTTATGTGTCTCTGAGGAAGCTGCCTGTATAAATGGATATGAAGCAGATGGATGGATGAACTGGAAAGACTTGAAATTCCTGATATGAGCTGTGGACGTTTGTGTTGAAAAGTGGTAGAACAGACAGGATGGGAAATGGGTGAGGATTTCTACTTATATGAAGAGAAGTTGCACTGTAAGAAGGAGATAAAGTACTCCTTTACTGGCACAATATTTGGAGACAGATTAATACATAAAGTACAAAAGCCAAGTTGATCACTAGCAATGGTACTTTTCAAAAGGAACTGTTTTATGAGCAATTAAAAGAAATACTGTCCAAGTATTTGGTAGGGCACAATTTTCTTTCATGTCTTGCACGATTTTTTTTTTTTATTTTCCCTGACAATTATTTTCCCCATTCTTTTCTGAAGAACACACACTGACATTTTTTCCAGATTTCCAGATTTTCCTCTTATTAGACACAGATTTCCAGATCCTTGGTGCAACAAGCTATATTTAAAAAGATGCATCTATAGTTATTGAATAAACAAACAATCCTATGGATCAAGGTTTTATTAAGTAAGGCTACAGAGTATTGTAAGCTAAATACCAGAGCCGTGCCTCGATGTTTCTCTGAATAAACACTAGAAATATTTACATGAAGTCTTAGAGTGAGAAGTGGCAGGGATGTTGCTCTTTTGCTTTCCAAGCGTTTATCAATGTACAGAAAGTTTTATCAAATACTGATGGGCAGAATCTCCATTTTTCAATTTTTTACAGCTATTCTATGGATTCGGAAGTACTTTTGTATGTTTTGAAATACTTTGGGCACAATTTTCAGTGATGTGCTTTCTCTTCCTTTGTTAATTTTCTTAACAGTAGACTAACAAAAATAATTTTCCTCCTTTCCTCAAATTTACTATACCTATGTATACTCTCGCTGTGAGTGCTCAACACATGTTGAGGTACATACGATGGTGTACTACTGATTAAAACACAGTTAAAAGAGTTACAGTGAGACAATACTTTTCCAAAGTTGACTTCACCTGTAGTATGGAAGTGGATATCCTTTAGCTGTACAGTTCAGAAGGATTTCTGGATTTGCTGAGCCCATGGAATAAGTGATGTCATATGGCTCTTGGATAAAAATAGGACCATGAAGGGTTTCCTCCCCTGTGAAAGAAAAACAATAATTTAAGATTAGACATCTTTAGCATGTCCTTACACATAAAAGTGTCCTTTGCTTTCGGTCAAAAGTTAAGGTCTGCTATTATTTTCAGCAGAGAATCCACCTCCAGACATTTGGCTATTACAGAGGAAATATTTCAAGCCTGATTGATAATAAAATCACATATCCTAGGTATTGGTGATTTATTTTGAGAGTGACGGTGAAGATTAGTTTCTTTGCATATTTCCTATGGAAGCTATAGGACCATCTACTAAATCTCCCCCACCTAGCCCATACTTGTGCTTTAAATCGTGACTGGAAGCAGGAAAGGACGAAGTTGTGGCTTTCTGTGTTTGGCACTTCTAGTTCCCTGCTCGCTTGGTGAGGTGAATGTGTCAGCCTCACGTCACCCTTTGAAAGACAGGCAGCTCATTGACTGCAGCCAAACCCTGGCAACGCAGACATTTCCCTACGGTCCATCAGAGTGCTTACCATGGGAGGGGGAGAGGGAAGACCACTAGCAGACCAGCAAATAGCTTCTAGATTGAGAGGTACGTCGTGGTGGGGTGGTGGTCTTGGGCTTTCCTTTCCTCAGCCATTTGGCCTTTCTTTCTGGTGATGGGGTCACAGTCTAAGGGGATCAGTCACTTCTTTCTCCTCTAACCTTCACATCCTTTGGTATCCTACTTCTGCATACCTTAGCTGGCCTGGTTTCTGGATTTGGTTTAGATTGTTTTGTTTTGTTTTGTTTTGTTTTGTTTTGTTTTGTTTTGTTTTATTTTTCCTCTCATTTGACCCTTTTAGAACTGAAGTAACATTAAATAAAGGTTGATTATTCATCACATATTTTCACTAGAACCTGTATCCTTCCAGTGACCCACAGATTCTAATAATTAGAGCATGTAAACACAAGGGCACAACAGACATGTGGGCTGGGGCAAGACCCCCTTGCTTCCTCAAAATCTCAGAGGTTCCTGCAAGGAAATCTTTCAAGGGGATCAAGCAATATTTTCATGGCTATAACTGAGTACTAGTGACAGAACAAATAAATGATCCTAGATCCTTCAATAAAGACTAGCAATTGGACCATCCTCTGCTTCCCAGATGTCTTACATGAGTCCAAGAAACCTAGAAAGTTTGCAGTTCGGTTACACAGCTGGGAAGAAGAAGTATTAACCCAAAAAACTAGTGGATTTACAGTCGCGTTCTGGAAGTAACATAAACGTTGGCACTAATCATGTCTGACTTTATTCACCTTTTTTATCTGCTCACGACAACGAGAGAGGGAAGGTACAACCTTCTTCCCAAAGACCACTGCTTCATCGCACCTTGTGTCATCACTGCAGTGCCCAGGCTGCCAAGTGCAACCCTCTTGCTCCATAGCTCTATAACTCTTAGGAGAGAGTTGCTCTCCTGACATCAGCAGAGTCCCCTCCTGCATCCCTAAAGAAGATCAGCTGTCCCGATGCACCAGCGCAGCATGCACCTCTGGGCAGTTCCCCGAGCTTTGCTCTGGCCACCCGGTCAACGCGCACATCCGCTGCAGGGCCATCAGCAACTGCACAGAGTGCGCGTCAAAACGCAGGTCATCTCCGTCTGCTGTCAGCTGTATACATATTCATCTCCCTTTGTACTTTTCAACCGCTTCAATCTATTTCCTTTAAATTTAAAAAAAAGCCAGATCATCATTGTTGCCAGCTTTCATCTTGTTGTGACACTTGCTGTTTTTCTGGCAGTCCTAATCCTGGAATTGTATAAATAATTTTTATCTGAAGTAATGAGAATATAATGCTTAAATTTTTTAAATATCACTGATTTTTAATCTTTATTTCATATCTGAAATATTTTTTACTAAACCAGAAAAGTTAAGAACCCCATCTTTCTAGGGGTAAATTTGTTTTTTATTGATGAATGTAGTCAGGCTTTCCTACTTTTACTTCTAGTAAAGAACACCTGGCAAAACTCTAGAGAGTGGTGAACAAAAGACAATAGTTTATATCTAAGCTTTTTTGACCAGAAGCTTTTTTAAGGATGGCATCTGAAAATCAGCGTGTTTTAATTGAGACATCCATTCCTATGTGTCTCTTAGCCCTACTGACACTGTATGTCCTTCGAAAACTCAGAAAGTCAGCCCAGCTGTGAGTGTGTTTTCATGAGCAGTACCTGTGAGAAATAGCCTTCAAGAGAACTGGAGTAAGATTCAAAGTAGCAGTCAAAAAAGATTGATTTGTTTTATACGACTATGGCTGTTTGGGTAGACACATCTCATTTTAAGAATATCTCGTGTTATAAAGGAGATAGCGTGGGTATACTAGAAAGGAAAACTACATCTTCTCACTTTAGGATATAAAATAAGTCAGGCTAGTAAAATACCTGGGATGAGCTAGTGGTTTGAAGATAAAATATTAAACTTGGCTGAACATTATATGTGATGTTATAAGTGACATAACAGACCATAAAATGCAGTAAATCACATAAAAAGTATCAATTTCCACAACTTTTTCATTCTGCTAAACTTTGCAGGCTATATGCAAACTTAGAGTAGACTCCAAATATTTCATGACTTATCCATAACTACTGGACACAGGTGAAAATCTCAGAAAATATGAAGCAAACACAATGAAAAAAGCTGTGACTGAGCTACATTCAAAACTCGATATGGCCTTGCTGTTTGCTTTTGGTGGGGTTACTCAAATACCTAAAGATAAGCATGCATTTCAGCCCTTACCTCTGTCTAGAGATTAAATTAATAATTTTTTTATTCTTTCTATTGTGGTTCTTCCAGGGGTCTTTAGTCATAGAGCAAGATACAGTAGGAAAAATAATTAACTCATATTTTACAGTTCCAACTTTGTGATCAGAAAGATTACACATATCCCAATATTGACCTCAGACCCCAAATGATTTTTCCTTTATTTCATGCTTTCAGAATCGAATGATAGTAAAGTAAACCAGAACTACTTCTATTTCTCATGGTAGTCTTTCTTGTTGTGGGGAGTAGGGGACAAGACAATTTGTTCAGCAAACCATATGGGGCAAGGCAGAGTGGCTCTCGGAGACGGTGGCTGGGCGTAGTTAAATAATCTTTGTTTCTTTTCCTGCTACTCTTCTATTTTTAATCCCTTGACAAATTTTAAGACTTCTTTTTTCACTGTGTCTGTAATTGATCCTTTGACTTATCTTTGGTAGGAATTTTCTTCCCTTCTGGGTTAATTTACTTAGCCTGTTAGTCACTCTCTTTGCCTTTCCAGAACTGCCAGTAAAAAGCTTTCTCAAAGCACCAAAATGATGTAGGGATCATTGTTCTGTTTTTTAAATCCATGTAGCTGGGTAGGCCTGAAATTAACAATGGTGAGCTACCTGATCAACATAAAAATCCCTGGTTTAGCTGATAAGAACATAAATATTTTCGTAAATCTGGAATTAAATTCCTATGATGAGTTCTAACTGGAATTTGGACTCATTTGTCATTTGCATTTTGAACATCTTAGTTCTTGTACCCTCCTTCAATGTGCTTTATACAGTAGACCCTTGTGTCGAATAAGGACACAATAGTTTACATGTACCCTAACAGGTCCTTCACAGTAGACACGTCGCAGTCCCTATCACAAAAATACTGTCTATGAGTTTTAGTAAAGGGGGCTTCATGCTATCATTTTGTTTTCTCTTTAATATCCTTTTCTTGCTGCCTGATCTGCAACAGAGAATAACACCAAATTTGTGAGAAATGATGTGCACTTTCAGAGCCAATGGTGTACTATGAGTCCATCTCTTATTTATAGAAAAGGTCAGACTGGTCATTTCTAATTTCCTGATGCATCCTTTTGTGTTTTGTATAGCGAACGGCCAAATATTTCTCCCCCATTCTCCAGATTCAATACCGGTCACCATGATTTCTCCAGAGATACATAGGACAATTGAATCTTTGTAGGACTGTTTGGTTAAGATTCAAATAATTCAGATTATTTTATCTAATGGAATACGAATATTTGATTAAATGTACCATTTTTATACATAAAACTTGTGAGTCCTCAGCATAGTTCTTGAAAGCAGATATAAACTCTTGCTATGAAATGTTCTATTAGAAGTTAAAATGTATTTCTTTATGCTGCCAAATCAGTTTGATCTCCATAAAGACCATAATTATGCTAGTGTGAATTCAAATCTAAAGTATGAAAATGAATCAACGTTCCTTTACTCATTATGTGATATTGTCTTCAGCCAATACAGAGATTAACATAGTGCCAATGGAAGAGCAGGAAGCCTATTTTTTTCATAATTACGTATCAGCAGAGGATATCACAGTGCTTTCCTCTCATCGCTTTATAGGCAATGGTTGGTTATAATGCGCTGTGATATTATGTCAAATGTAGTCAAAGAGGTTTTGGTTAGTCACGATAAATATTGAAATGCTTATGTGCTGTCTGATCCAGACAAGGAGAATGAAATGCAGATCTGGAGCCCACACTTAATCAGCTTAATTTCCAGTCAAATCCTGCTCCCTGTACTTTCCTGCTGTCTGACTATTCCTGGCTTCATATTCACCTCCTTATGAGGTATCTGTTCAACTAGAAATTCTAGGCAATACAGCCTGGGAGCAATTTAGGCTGGCCAAGACCCAGTCTGTACCATATATAGAGACAACTGAGCAGACCAATGTTGCCAACCAGCTGACTTTTTTTATCCCTTTCCTACTACAAATTTTCCTTTCTGCTACGATATTTTTGCAAAGTGGATTTGTAATTACTATTGCCACAAACTGAGCAGTAATATCAGATAAATTCTGTTTGGTGAAACTGAAAGTATCCTAGAAAGCATCATGCTCCGTTTGCAGAGAAAGACCACGTAAGGCTTTTGGTTTGCCTCTATGAATCTGCTCCAGGTAGACAAACTCAAGAGGATTCCTTGCTCAAGGACCAGAAATATACAGTTCTGTGGGCCTGAGAGCTCCGAAGTGTGCAGTATTTGCAGCTGCTGTGATTATTTCTGTTGCCATG